AAATGAACCTTCATTGCAACAGCCCACATATGGCTTAATACTGTCCCCTACAGCCTAAATATAACTGAAGAGAGTAGCTGTACTTGATTTTGGTCCTGTTCCCTCAGTAAAGCTAATATATTTCATACAGAGTTACATGTTAGAGATGTATATTAATCATGCTTTGAATAACTGCAGATCGGAACGATTAAAAAGACTGGAGAGCAGTTGAGCAAGGATATCTATTTTGTTTCAATAAAACCTGGAGTCGATCAGGCCTTTATTGTTGGAGTTGTTGCCATTCTCGACAACATCTATGGCGAATCAACCAGCTGCTGAATTTGTAAGAAAGGGGACGATGGCAATTGCTCGTCACCCTTCCATCGAATTGTGATTGAACTGTAGATTTGTGGCGGGACTCCATTTCGTTCGTCACCATGAACTGGATCTGCATATTTTGTTAACAGCAATGTATTCTTTTAGCTTTTATAGCATTTGTCCTGTAAATGTAATTGAACTCTTTACCTTCTCCACTGCCTTCTGATCTCCCATTTGCCTTGCTTCGGGATCATTGCTGCCATATAAGAGTAGATGAAGCAGGGCAAAGGCAACAGTAGCTGAATATATCATATCAACTTTTAATAATACAAACAACAGAATCAAACAATCAAACAATCAGGAGCTTATTCATATTAGATATTCACGACCAAGAAACACTAGATTCTCTTTCGGGTAGGCCCGAAAAGGAGAAGGAAGGCTGAAAACCAACAGCCGTCTATTATTGAATTCACCCAACCCGATTGTACCCCATAATGAACGTCCAGTGCCTTGGCACTGAAGGTAAGCAGATGTTTATTGAAATAAAAACTTCCATTACAGTTCACAGAGGAAATATCACAAAATTATGGAAAGCATTTGCATTCAAGAATATGAGCTCTTCATAAACTGAATCCGATTTCGATAGACTTTACGGACTAAAACTAAAAATGGTTGTTTGGGTTGCACTGTTGAACCGAAATGAGAGAGTCCTACCACAATCTCCCAGCTCAAGAATCATGTTTTATGCAAACTTCAGATAAAGAGAGTTTAAAAGGAAAAAATATACAACTTCATTTCACTAAACAATGCTATGATATACAAATCATGATATTAACAGGCTGATGATGCAAAGTCAAGGCATCATGATCTCCTATAACATCATCTATTGTCATAATAACTGTTCAGGGTCCAGAGAACGTCCTTGACTTTTGGCTACCATTTAATTGAAACGCACGTTACAATGGCCAGCTTTTAGTTGAGACGCCTATGATTAGTTTAAACAAACATTTATTGCCAGCATCAGGGATTCACCATTGACGTGCTCACCCTGAGGATGAGAAACGACAAATATATAACAATCAAGCCAACTCCTAGATTTTTGTTCGGGCGCATACCGTTCCTAGGTAACATAACAACTGACCAAATGAGTCCTAACATTAAAAAACTCAATGTGTAAAACAAGCTACTATCTCTAGGAAGCATGTAAGCTGCAGGTCTACGGGAAATGGCTCCAAGAAGCATGGAGGTACCCAGCCCCGCAAGAGTATTGAACATAGGCCCAGCGTAGCACCCAGACATAGCAATCTGTACACTGTCTCCACCATTCATTGCCAGTGCTAAATTGGACATCAAATCCCCCATTGAGTTCCCCCAGGCCAGCACTGTTAATCCAAGAATTGATGGGTTTACTCCAAAAATTAAACCTAATGTCATCAACAAAGCAACTAGCTCATTTGCAACGATGTAAAACCAGACAATGCTCATAAAAAATCCTCCAAAGACCCATGGAAACAAAACCCTGCGAGGTGGATGATCAGAGCTTGTATACAAATATGCAAGGACACCAAGCACACCACCAAGGGAAAACCCCAAAAAGTAGGCAAGTTTTCCACTCAAAGGTCCTAGAGCATCTTGGGTGTTCCATAAATATGCCAGAAGAACGGGTGCTAGCATAGCACTGGCAACAGCATAGACTTTGGACCACCGTTCCTCCTCGACAATGGGAATAGTCAAACGTCTTGGGAGTATCAATGGAAGTTCAAGAAGTGAAAATAATTTGGACCAGGAAAACAATGAGTGGTCAGTTGCTGTATTCTCATCATTCCAACCCCACAGAAATTTTGGACTATCAACACTGCCCTTCATAGCCTGATTTGAATAGATTGCAACATGTGAAGACCACATCCATTGTGGCAGTTTATTTTGGAGATGTGGTACATCACCATCAGCCTCGGAATCAAGCAGAGTTGTATATACCGATTCTTCGTCGTCACTCCCAACAGAGAAAATGCTTCCAGTTACAGGAAGCAAAGGTGTCAAGGAGTTCAGTGTCACTTTTACTGGGTCATTCTCCAAAATCTCATTTGCAGCAACTACAAATCCATAGACTAAATAAATCGAAACAAACGCAATGGCACTGATGACAGTAACCCGACCAAACGCCAAAATTATAGCAAGTGAGATGATGACAAACATGAAGAAACATATGTCTCTGATAAAGCATTTCCTATCAATCCTGATGTCCCTCTCGGCAACACAAAGAGAAACAGCACCAACAACAATACAAGTTACAAAGACAGCTCCACCCAAGACACTGTTAAGACCAACGTCACCAGCATCCTTTCCCATAAAAGCAGCAATGCTGGCGAAGACATCAGGAGCTCCATTACCAAGAGGAAGCAACGACACTCCGGCCACAGTCGCTGGCAACTTCAAAAGATTTGACAGTTTCTCCAAGGAGCAACAAAAAAAGTCAGCTGCGGTATTACCCAATAGATAGAACAACGCAGCAAGCCAAATTATCAAAGCCACATAACCCAAAAGTCTAAAACCTTCACAGTCACAGTAGAAGAATGCGATATAATTGAAAAATCCCCCTGAATTGCAATCGGGATGGGCAATCAAGTACTCACATCGGCTCTGATAACCTTTGTGTTCCGATAAGCCAACGCATAATAGGGGACGACTCCCGGTGTTATTATTATTTGTAAGAAGTCCATCAACACCGATGGTATTGTTTAGAGAAGAAGCAGAGACTTCAGTTATTCGCCTATGAATCACCCCAGCCTGCTTATCACCAATGGTCCATTTATGGGGAAGAACCGAATGCGAATTCTGATCAAACGGATTTCTCAAGAACTTCCCCTGATTAAGGTATAAACAAAGCAACACAATGGAGCAAATTCCATGAAAAATCCCTCGAGATCGAAAGTTTGTCGCTCCAGAAATTGCATACGTTCTAGTCATAATCTTCCACCCGCAACCGATTAATAAAGCCAATAGTTGCTTCAGAGGTCGTCAATAACAGAAAACTGGAACCCAAATCACAAACGAAGGTTCGAAACCCTATTCACGACTAGACGATGACAAAATTCAAACAATAATTGCAGCAAAACAATCGGAAGATAGGATTGAATCAACGCATAGAGATGATGTTTGAGCTGAAAGATGAACGTAGAAGAATTGAGAGCACAAACATTAGGGTTTTACGACGATAGCTGGCGGAGTAAAAGAGAAAGGTCAAGAGGAGGAGGCAAAAGGAAAAATCGGAGGAAATCCCCAAGAACTTTGAAGAAAATCGTTGGATTAGAATGGAAAGAAATTGAAAAGGTCAATCAAGTTATTACCAGTGATCCACGACATGAACGCGGGAGAAGAAGATTGGCGGGGTACGAGTAGCCGACACGCGTGGCGGAGTACGACGGCGCAACCGAACTCGCCCGACCCGATCAAACGATTCTTCAAAGAAAAGGCGGAATCTTTATACCCTTTGCATTGGTTTATTTATTTTTCAAATGGTTGATTTTTTTTTTAATTATATTAATTTTGAAACTTATTTTTAAAATATCCCTGCTTTAATTAGGTCTAAAAATAGAATAGAGCGTCTAGAAGATTCCAGATAATTAAATCTTATAAAATCTATAATATAAATTAAGATTAGCATCTTAAATTTTAAAATGTTTTAATTAGTCGTTTAAAATTTAAATAATCGGGTGATAATTAGCATATACTCTTACCGATATTAACGGGCCGAGATGCCTATTTTTGTCATTAATTTCAATCTATATCCTGCAAAATTCTAAGATTTTTTTCCATTTTTAATTTTTTATTAAAAATAATTCATTTTATATAATTTTTTAATAGATAATTTCTACTAAAAATGTAAAATCTCCTAATAAATTCAATAATATTTTATTAATAAATTCAATAATATTTTATAAACAAAAATATAATATAATGTTTTTATCAATGTAACATCTTAAAATTAAAATTTTAATATTACCATATAATTTTAACCCTTCAAACATTTCTAATATAATATATATATATATATATATATATATATAAAACAAGAAGGGAGATGGAGAATATAATCTTGGTCCCGACTCCGATTAGTTAACGGAAAGATATCTCTTACTATTCCTTCTCCCGTTCCATGCCTTGTTTAGGGTTCCCCCGTTCCATGGCCTATTTAGGGTGGATCTCCATGGAACTCCGACTCTACAAATTAAAAAATGAAAAAAATCTTTGTACATGGACTTCCATGAAGTCGAAGGTTCAAACCCAAACATAACTTCACCTCGTATGACTAAACAATTTTATCCACATGTTTGAATCCTTAATGCTCGTTTAAACCTTAACCTGTTGATCTATGCTGAGTATAGTCGATAAAAATATTTTTTTACTCTGATTAATTTTTTTTTTACTGGGATTAAAAAAAATGTGACCAAGCCAATTAATTATCATAAATTCCATGCGAGCTGGCACACCTGACTCTCTCTCCAAAACAGACAAGAAAGCATAACCATTGCCAGCCACTTCCATAACTGAATTACCCAAAACAGAGCTTCATACCTCAGACAATGGCAACAGCGCAGTGCTTAGACGATCGCCAACGCAACATTCTTCGATCTTCTCAACTTTTTTCCATTCGTTTCAACGCGTTTTCATTCATTGATCAATCTACACTTCGATTCATTTCCCTTTCAACTTTTCAAGCAAACACAAACATACTCTGTTTCGTTACGATTTACAAACACGAAAACTAAGATGAAATTTACGAATCAGAACGCTAGAAATTGTCAGTTTACTCCTCAGATTCCCAACCCATTTGTTTAAATGGGATGAAAATCATGGGAGAAGTCGAATTGAAACCACCCATTAAAGCAAGTTAGAAGCTTGAACATGTTACTCTGTTTTTTTGTTTAACTAGACAAGGAAGGAAAGCAACTCCCGGAACGTTGGAGTCTGGCCGAACCACCGATGTCGACAATCGGTTTGAGTTTGATTACACGGCTTGAATTCGACCGGAGCACTCTGGGAGAATCCAACCTCCGCCGTAGTAGTCGCCCCATCGCGGAGATGGGGTACTCTGTTTCATCCAGAGGGTTCGTCGATCTGAACTCTCTGCAGAAACTCGCATGTCGGATCAGCGCTTCTTCGGTGGAGATAAGCGTCCCCGACCTCACAACTTCGTCTTTCACCGCCTCGATGCAGAGCCCACAGATCCACCGCCCATGGAAGCGATCACGAACTCGAGAAATGTAAGCAGGGGTGCAATCCTCTGAAAATCCGCAGGAATAGCATTTCACACACTTGACCTCCACCGTACACTCCGCCGCCGCCGCCTGAGAGTCGGAGTTTGGTAACGCCATCGCCAGCAGCATGACAACGAAGTCTTATCTGCTTCCTCTGCTCTTGTGTGTTCAGTTAGGGAAGAGGGAGAGAAAACCAGAGGATAAGCAAAAGGATTTATCATTTATTGGCTATTGGGCTGTTGGAACTTTCCAATTTGGAGTAAATGCATTGCTATAATAAGGGTTTAAGCAATAGATTTATTGCCATTAAACCAGCCCAAATAATTGGTAATTAAATTTCCCCAACTTAAGAGAAAAAAAAAAAAACTCGAGTTTTTAAGGTCATTGGATGAGAGAATAAGAAACCCCATTAGAATTAGACTCTGTTCTGCTCTGATCTCAGATAGACTCTGTTTTCAATCTGGGGAGATTTATTTATGCTTCTTATCCATTGAACTTTTCCAACAACGTTTGGATTCCGGAAACGTTTACAGACACAAGACTGTTATTAAAAGCATTATTAAACACAACAATGTCTGGTTCGTTTTGGTTTTGTCTTTAAAAACCGACAGCAAAAAGGAGATGAAACGAGTCAGAAAAGGGCAAACATGGAAGTGGGGGTGGGCTGATGATGATGATGATGGGAAGGAGGAAGCCATTTCATTTTTAACCTGCAAGATTGAAAATTGGGTTTCTATCAGAAAAGGAAAGCCAAGCGACTCTGTTTTGATGCGACAAGCAACAAAAACAGAGTCATAGTATCCGATTAGGAGCTGCTGTCTGTCTGCCGACCTCCTCGTCGGTCGGGGGACACATGTCAGCTCATCCTATGTTCATAAAAAGGAATCTTTTTTGGTGTTGGAATCGATGAATGGTTACAAATTGATGTGCCCGCGGTCGTTTTTTTCTGTTTTTGAGTGTTTCGAGACAGAGATTCAAACCCTCTGTTCTCTGCACCACTGCACCAGCTCCATTCTTTGTTCTCTTTTGCCCTCCGACCCAAGACATTTTCACATTTTCTCGAAGGAAAGTGTCTTGTCAGTACTAGAGTGTCAGTGCTAGAGTGAGTACCAGAAGTGCTTAGAGTACCGCATAATCGCTGCCAAGAAAAAAAGCCCATTTTAGTGATGGTTGCTTTCTCTTTAGGCTACCGTTTAACTCAAGAGTATAACCATATAACTCAAATGAGTTCTTTCTTAGGTTTCATTTGGTAACTCTTCGAATTTACAAAAGTTGTACTTGTTTTCTTATTGTTCCTTAATCGTAAAGAATTGAATTTTTGGCCAAATTCTAACAAAAACAAGTTACGGTAAACTCATAGAGGAAAGAAGGTTTTTTTAATAAGAGTGTAGGAACCTCTTCCATGTGTTCTAAAATTGTAAGGCTAACGGCGATATGTAACGGGTCAAAACGAACAATATCTACGAGCGATGGGCTTGGACTGTTACAAATGGTATTAGAGCCCGACATCAGGCAGTGTGCCAACGAGGGCGCTAGCCCTCAAGGAGGGTGGATTGTAAGATCTTACATCAATTGGAGTGGGGAACGAAGCATTTTTTATAAGGGTGTGGAAACCTCTTTAGTAGACGTGTTTTAAAACTATGAGGTTGATGGCTAGGCCAAATCGGACAATATTTGCTAGCGATGGGCTTGTGATGTTACAAATGGTAGCAGAGCCCGACATCTGGTAGTGTGCCAACGAGGGCACTAACCCTCAAGGAGGGTGGATTGTGAGATCTCACATCAATTGAAGTGGGGAACGAAACATTGTTTATAAAGGTGTGAAAACATTTTTAGTAGACGTGTTTTAAAACTATGAGATTGATGGCTAGGCCATCGGACAATATTTGCTAGCGATGGACTTGGGATGTTACAACTTATGTACTTTTTATTTTTTCACGAAGTACTTAAAATGTAAATCCAAAAATGACCTTCGATCGATTTAATAGGTTTTTCGAATTTCAACTTGAGATTCCCTCTCTAGTTTGACATTGATTTTCTCGCACCGCATCGCTATTCTTTTAGCGTGTTGATTGGGGCTCCATCAAGTGTGTGCTGCAGTGCAAACCTATCTCTCATACAATTTTGTTGATGGATTCATCACTATTTTCTTTTGTGATTATACTAGTTAGAACATCATCAGTTTCCAAGATGTATAACGCATGCATAGAGAACAAAGAAGAACCTTTTATGTGAGATTTCACATCCGTTGGAGAGGGGAACAAAACATTCTTATGGGTGTGGAAACCTCTCCCTAACAGAAGCGTTTTAAAAACCGTGAGGGGAAGCCCAAAGGAAACAATATCTATTAGCGGTGTGTTTGGGCTGTTACAAATGGTATCAAAGTCAGATATTGGACTGGTGTGCCAGAGAGGATGTTGGGTCACCCACACTGGGCGATGTGCCAAGAGCTCAAAAGGAGTGGATTATACGGAACAAAGCATTCCTTATAAGGGTGTGGAAACCTCACCCTAATAGTGACATTTTAAAAACCTTGAGTAAAAGCTCGAAAGGAAAAGCCTAAAGAGGACAATATTACTTAGCGTTGCATGACTGCTACATTTTACTTAGCGGTGGACGGCTGTTACATTTTACTTCAACTAAGCCAGAATATCAGCATGTTGTATATACAGATTGGTCTGTTATCAGACCTTCAGAAAGAGAGCCATGAATTGCCAAAGATATGATCAACTAAATTCTTGTATCTATAAATTCTGAAAAACAAGAACAATAATGCAGTTTGCCTCAAAATTCAAGATATATGGTTCATTTTTCTTTGTAGCGTACCTGCAGAATAGCATGTCGTCCACAAGGGAGGCCGGTTCTCTACGTAGACGTCTCCGCTGTCTTTCGAACAAACTCCTTCAAAGACAAAACATGTCAACAGGAGTTGGATATTTTCAACTGTTCTAAACAGGAAACTGGTAGAGAGGATGACCTTTTCAGTTATAATTCCACAGATCAGATGAGCAGGAGTAACGTCAAAAGCGGGGTTCCAGACAGCGATGCCAGACGCAGCGCCTTGCTCGCGGAGACCTCCACGAGAGTCCAACAACTCGTTGGGAGATCTTTCCTCTATAACAATTTCTTCTCCAGAAGAAAGGGATAAGTCTATGGAAGTCAATGGTGCAGCCACAAAGAACGGAATCTTGTGATGCATTGCACACAATGCAAGACTATAGGTTCCAATCTTATTTGCAGTATCACCTGCAATTCATTAAACAGAATTTTCGATCTCTCTTCCCTCGCAAACTGATAAACGAAGAAACATCGAAGTACCATTTGCAGCTACACGATCTGCCCCGACTACAACAGCATTCACTCTTCCAAATGTCATCAAGGCAGCAGCAGCGGAATCGGCTATCAGAGTAGAAGGTATCTTTTCATGGACCAACTCATAGGCTGTGAGTCGAGATCCCTACAATAATTGCTAAAGGTAAGGTCAAGTTACTATTCAACATGCCGAGTGAGTTACGGCTAAAATAGTCCACAAAACCGTACAAACACAGGTTTGAAGTTAGCAAAATCAGGAAAATGGCCATAACACGTTCGAAAATGAGATATCTATCTAATATAAACACCACTGATATTGACAGAGAAGTTAACTAGAACTTATATAGACACTCGAACGTTCTCGCAGTTGAAAACGAAAGAATTCTAAAAAGAAACTCACTTGATTAAAGGGCTGTGTTTCGGTGCAGTATGCCCTTTCTAACACACCGGCAGAGTGAAGTGCACGAATTACACCGAGGGCGGTACCATATCCCGCTGTTGCTAGACTGAAAGTGAAGAAAATCAGTATTAGTTAGTCAAGAAACATTTATATAGCAAGGGAACGTTTATGTTTGAGACCTGCCGGTGTTGCAATGCGTTAGAACGGATATAAGTTGCTCCATAGGATCCAATGGCTTTATTTGAAGCAACGTCGTCCTCCAGCATTGCTTCAGCAGCCTCTATATATGCCTATTGAGCCAGTCATAAATACTCAAAAGAGTTTACAAATGAGGCATACTTTAAATTTCAGCTTAACCGAGCTCAATAGAACGGATTCAATCAACCAAAACTTTTTGACACAATGCATCGAAAAAAATCGAGCACTCGTTGAGCTGAATTACAAGTGAACTAACAATTATCAGCTCAAACTGAACGGTTAAATGAAACTACCAACTCATACTTGGAAGACACTCCTGGGTTCGGAAGAAATAGCAGCTGCCCCAGATACAACTTCTTTAAGTTTAATAGCAGCATCGCCAAGATTAACAGCAGTTGACAGACATCAATGGCGTTGGTTTTGTAGACAGAAAGGATGTACTGAGGAACTGTCTTGAATCTTTTGTTACAGTCATCACAGGGTAGAATGTATTACAAAACTTTACTAGACAACTGGTTTCAACAATCAATCAGCTGCCTTGCATCATCGAGACACACTAGGAGCTCAACATTTTCTTAACAATAGGTGTGAGATCCCACATCAGTTGGAGAGGGAAACGAAACATTCTTTATAAGGGTGTGGAAACCTCTTTTTAGCAGACACGTTTTAAAACCTTGAGGGGAATCTCATCAGGAAAAACCCAAAAAAGACAATATCTGCGGGGGGCTTAGGCTGTCACAAATGGTATCGGAGCCAGATTGGACAATGTTTCAGTGAGGAGACTGAACCCCGAAGGGGTTGGACACCAGGCGGTATGCCAGGTGAAATTGGGGTCCTACATCGGTTGGAGAAGAGAGCAAGTGCCAGCAAGGAAGCTGAGCCTCAAAGAGGGGTGACTTGTGAGACCCCACATCCGTTAGAGAGGGGAACGAAGCATTCTTTATAAGGGTGTGGAAACGTCTCTTTAGCATACGCGTTGTAAAACCTTGAGGAGAATCTCACAAGAGAAAGTCCAAAGAAGACAATATCTACTAGCGGTGGACTTACAAGCTTACGTGAGTGTCTACCTAAAGTAATCTACTAGACCATCATTTGATCCAACAGTTATAAACTTCTAAGAAATTCATCAAATACGAGTTAAACCCATGATCAACACATAAGTCCAACACTAGACCAATTCAGGTATGCATTAGTATTTCACAAATCTTCAAAGTTCAAAGTTCAAAAGAACGTGATCTTCAAGGGGATTGTTCAAAAGAGCATGTGAATTAGATAAAAACACCCTGAATAATGCCAGATTAGACAAAGATTGCAATAGATTACTACCATCCATCTGTTGCATCCTTGATGTCCAGGTAAACAGTTTCCAAAGGGAGCTTCCTCTGTTCAAGAACAACCACTGTTAATTAAAGAGTCTTTATATAGTTTTTCAAGCTTGAAGAACAAAAAACATGCATAGCGCTCCATACAAAGCAACAATCAAAAACTCGATTTCTTCGCCACTAAAAACCGAACACTACCTGATCGAGCAGCCGCAAGGAGCCCTTCTTGTAACAGATGGACTGAATAGAGTTATCCGCTCCGACTTCGCCGCCATTTTTCGAATCCAAAGCCATTATGCTTACTAGAAATTAAACCGAAAAAAGAAACCCAGACAAACAAATCGATTCAAAACAGGGGATTCAATTTCTCGCCTTATTGGATGCTTCCGAATTGAAAAGAGATTGAAAATGGAACAGAAAAAAAATGAGAGAACTTACTTCGAACACCGACTCTCCACAATGATATGATATTGTCCACTTTGAGCATAAGCTCTCAGCTCTCATGACTTTGCTTTGGGATTCCCAAAAGGCCTCATGACTTTGCTTTGGGATTCCCAAAAGGCCTCATACCAATGGAGAGTGTATTCTTAGATTATAAACCCATGACCATTCCCTAAATTAACCGATGTGGGACTTTCATCATCCAACACCTCCCCTCGAACAAAGCACGCCTCCCCTTAATCGAGGCTCGACTCCTTTGGAGTCTTAGTCATTTTTGACTGCCTTCGTACCTTCGAGGAGGCTTGACTCCTTTTGGAGTCCTTTGTTCGACATTTAAGGATTTGCCAATCTATTGACACGGCTAAGTTTAGGGCATGGCTGTTGGATGATGAAAGTCCCACATCGGTTAATTTAGGGAATGGTCATGGGTTTATAATCTAAGAATACACTCTCCATTGGTATGAGGCCTTTTGGGAATCCCAAAGCAAAGCCATGAGAGCTTATGCTCAAAGTGGACAATATCATACCATTGTGGAGAGTCGTGTTCGTCTAACATGGTATCAGAGCCATGCCCTAAACTTAGCCGTGTCAATAGATTGGCAAATCCTTAAATGTCGAACAAAGGACTCCAAAAGGAGTCAAGCCTCCTCGAAGGTACGAAGGCAGTCAAAAATGACTAAGACTCCAAAGGAGTCGAGCCTCGATTAAGGGGAGGCGTGCTTTGTTCGAGGGGAGGTGTTGGATGATGAAAGTCCCACATCGGTTAATTTAGGGAATGGTCATGGGTTTATAATCTAAGAATACACTCTCCATTGGTATGAGGCCTTTTGGGAATCCCAAAGCAAAGCCATGAGAGCTTATGCTCAAAGTGGACAATATCATACCATTGTGGAGAGTCGTGTTCGTCTAACATGGTATCAGAGCCATGCCCTAAACTTAGCCGCCTTAAATGTCGAACAAAGGACTCCAAAAGGAGTCAAGCCTCCTCGAAGGTACGAAGGCAGTCAAAAATGACTAAGACTCCAAAGGAGTCGAGCCTCGATTAAGGGGAGGCGTACTTTGTTCGAGGGGAGGTCTAAGACTCCAAAGGAGTCGAGCCTCGATTAAGGGGAGGCGTACTTTGTTCGAGGGGAGGTGTTGGATGATGAAAGTGGTCATGGGTTTATAATCTAAGAAAATACACTCTCCATTGGTATGAGTCAAGCCTCCTCGAAGGTACGAAGGCAGTCAAAAATGACTAAGACTCCAAAGGAGTCGAGCCTCGATTAAGGGGAGGCGTACTTTGTTCGAGGGGAGGTGTTGGATGATGAAAGTGGTCATGGGTTTATAATCTAAGAAAATACACTCTCCATTGGTATGAGGCCTTTTGGGAATCCCAAAGCAAAGCCATGAGAGCTTATACTCAAAGTGGACAATATCATACCATTGTGGAGAGTCGTGTTCGTCTAACATGGTATCAGAGCCATGCCCTAAACTTAGCCGTGTCAATAGATTGGCAAATCCTTAAATGTCGAACAAAGGACTCCAAAAGGAGTCAAGCCTCCTCGAAGGTACGAAGGCAGTCAAAAATGACTAAGACTCCAAAGGAGTCGAGCCTCGATTAAGGGGAGGCGTGCTTTGTTCGAGGGGAGGTGTTGGATGATGAAAGTCCCACATCGGTTAATTTAGGGAATGGTCATGGGTTTATAATCTAAGAAAATACACTCTCCATTGGTATGAGGCCTTTTGGGAATCCCAAAGCAAAGCCATGAGAGCTTATACTCAAAGTGGACAATATCATACCATTGTGGAGAGTCGTGTTCGTCTAACATGGTATCAGAGCCATGCCCTAAACTTAGCCGTGTCAATAGATTGGCAAATCCTTAAATGTCGAACAAAGGACTCCAAAAGGAGTCAAGCCTCCTCGAAGGTACGAAGGCAGTCAAAAATGACTAAGACTCCAAAGGAGTCGAGCCTCGATTAAGGGGAGGCGAGAGCTTATGCTCAAAGTGGACAATATCATACCATTGTGGAGAGTCGTGTTCGTCTAACACACACCAGAGAATAGCATTTCCTATGGTCACAACACGATAGATAGCAATAATTATATTAATTATATATCGGTTAAAATTAACAGTGTAAATATATATTTTAAAAATAAAAAATAGCTTTCAATAATTGAGATGCATCTAGTGGGATTTAATTTTTCCATTATTCCCTTATTTTTAATACTTTCAATTCATAGCTTTTAAGTCACATCATGCCTTTTTGTCTCCCACAAAAAAATTATTATTATTATTCTTAAAAAAAGGAAAAATTCGCTTTAAATCAATAATTATCCATTAATATATATTTATAGTCTGAAAAAAAAAATTCGTCATATTTTTTAAAAATATATTCCTATTTTTCAATTAAAATAATTTAAAATTTATTAAAAGCACAAATATTATAACAAAAATGATATTTTTAATAATAATAATAATAAAAAAAAAAAAGCCCACTAGGTTCAATAATTTCCCCCCGACCACCACCGTTGTTTTAATTAATTGTCTTGTCTGAAAATTATTACATATTTATTTTCAAAATTTTTATGATAGTTTTTTTTAAGAATAATTTTCTTATTTTTTTAATAAAAACTTAAATTACTTTTTTATAACGGATAAGCTTTATATTTTCTTTTATGGAAAATTGTAAAATTTTGATTTATATTATAATAAGAATCTTTTTTACAAGTATTTCAATTAAAATGGAAAGCGATTTTTTTTTTAATCACTTTAATATAATTTAATTCAGAAAAAATAAATAACTAAAATTAGACCTGACATAATTCATCAGACATATATTTTTTAATAATTATTTTAGTGTTAAAAAAATATGGATAAAATTCTATAATTAAATAATATATTATATATAAAATTAATTTAAAAATAAGAATATATCATAAATTTATTTATTAACAAAATATATATATAAATAATTCAATGACACATTAATTTAGAAAATTATTATACACGGCCATTATTAGAAACAAATTAGATAACGAAATTATAATTTAATATAGAAATTAATAATAATAAACTTATGTCTATTTTTGCTTTATTGTATGTTAGTTTTTTAAATTATTTTTAAATTATTTTTTAAATTTAAAGCTGTATTAAAAAAATATAAATATTTGAATATGGGAAAGTTTGAAAATTCAATCCAACCGTTAGAAAATGGGTCCCAATGATTCAATCGTTCATCATAAAGACAAATTCATTAAAGAAAGATGATAAGTTTGCAGCATGTTAAATTGTGATTAGTGTTAATAAAATCATGTTTAAGAAAAAGAAAATCCAAATTTTCTTTCACAAAAAACGGATTCCTTATCTTCAATGCTAATTCATTCATGGAACCAGAAATTTCAATGAAATTGTAGAGAAGAAAACGTTTCGAATCGTGTTTGAAGTCCCCCTTATACGATAACGTGTTCTTCATCTTTCGATCGCCTCATTTTCAGAGCCATTTCAAATTTCTTCTTCTCCTTAAGAATCTCTGTCTTTCAATGGCGGAAGATTTCGCTAAAGCCGTCGATGATGGGCTCCGGCTCTCCAAGAGACTGTACTTCGGCAAAGACCGAGCCGTCGCGCCTCCTAGGTCGTTCCCTTCGATGGATAGGATGGGCCACTCTTTTCTCCCTGCGGCTCCGATGGTTTATGCTGTAATTCGTGATCCTGCAATCGTTGATAACCCTGATATTCCGAGCTACCAGCCCCACGTTCATGGCCGCTGCGACCCACCGGCTCTGATTCCGCTTCAGATGAATGGAATTGAACTGCAGGCTGATTGCTATATGGATACAGCGATTATTCAGATCACTGGGTCTTGGAGGGTTCACTGCGTTATGGGTAGCCGGAGCTGTGATTGCCGCATTGCGATTCCCATGGGGGAACAGGTATTTCTCTGGAAACGCTTTTTTTTCGTGGGGTTTCTGAATTGAATGCCTCGTTGGGTGTTTTTAGGGCTTAATTAGAATCTAGTTTACACGAAGAATCATGTCGAGGTAATTATGATCCTTATGAGCCCTTTCCTGCTGGGTTTGATTTTGTTGGATTGTTTGGTTTTTGATTCTTAGAACACAAGGTGTTCTTACAGCGTGCCTGAGTTTTTGGTCTTTTGTTCTTCTTTTTTGTACTGGATTCTCAGGGAATGATATTATTTGGCTAACAGGGCTCAGTTCTAGGCTGTGAGGTCGATGATCCTAGAAAGTCATATCGTACTTCGCTTATTACAGTTGAAGAAAAAACTAAAAATGGTGCAGAAAAACAAGAACAATTAGATGGAGGTTTCTTGACTTCTAATATCTTTACCATCACAATTCCACAGGTGATAAACGTTAACTCATGAATGTTTGTTTTGTTTGTAAGTGCTAATGATTTTGATCCTTTGAACTTATGGAAGTCTGTGTTTTCCTGTTTCTTTTCAAGGTTGATGGGGGCACCACCTTGTCTATATCCATGACTTGGTCTCAAAAACTACGATACAGCGCAGGCAATCTCACCTTGAACGTTCCGTTTACTTTTCCTGAATATGTCATCCCTGCAGGGAAGAAGATGTCAAAAAAGGAGAAGATAGCGTTAAATGTGAATGTTGGTTGTGCAGCTGAGGTTTTATGCAAGACGACAAGTCATCCTTTAAAGGTTTGTACGCTAATGTTTCGAGTAATCGATGGTTTTGCTTCTTGTTTCAGTCTGTAATGTTGTTCCTATAATGGATCCAGGAATCAATGAGAAAGCCTGGAAAACTGAGCTTTATATACGAATCGGAAGTTCTTTCATGGTCGAAAACCAATCTTAGCTTCTCATACAGTGTACGTCTCACATTCATCGATATTGGTATTCTGGAGAAGAATGTACAGGCTTGTGACAAGCCTATTCATATATGCTCAGCATTTAAATCTTTCGCGTCTCATCCTTCTTGTATGTTGTAGGTTTCTTCGAGTCAAATATTCGGTGGTATTCTCCTACAGTCTCCTCCCGTGGATGATGATGATCAAAGAGAGATGTTCTGCATGTACTTGTATCCAGGAAAGGAACAGGGAAAGGTTGTATGGGGTTTCTTAATCTGTTATTAATACCCAGAAAGTCATATAAATACTCATCTTAACGAGTTTTACAGGTCGCCAGAAAAAAGATAATATTTGTTGTTGATATAAGTGAGAGTATGCAAGGCAAGGCACTAAACGATGTGAAAAACGTGCTATCCATAGCCGTGAGTAAGCTTCCTCCAGAAGACATGTTTAATGTTATTGCTTTCAACTCGGAAGCTTTTCAGTTCTCAGAATCCATGGAGTTGGCCACCGAGGATGCTGTTGAAAGGGCCCTTCAGTGGATAAATTTGAACCTTATTGCTGGGGGTGGCACTGATATTCTACTTCCATTAACAAAGGTATCCCATCTTACATCTTTTTCATTTATTATTCTTGTGGATCTTTTTATTGTCTTCAATTCTCAGATTCTGTTATACAACTATGCTTTCAAATGAATTTTCCTTCTTAACACTGAAAACGCATAGGTGTACAATACATATAAGTACTGTTTGATCGAGTATTTTTACTTGTGGAAGAAAAGCTTAGGTGATATAAATGTAAGATGGTGGCCTTAGGATGGACAGTGTGAGATCCCACGCGGTTGGAGAGGGGAATGAAACATTCCTTATAAGGGTGTGGAAACCTCTCCCTAACAGACGCGTTTTAAAAACCTTGAGGGGAAGCCCGAAAGAGAAAGCCCAAAGAGGACAATATCGCCTAGCGGTGGGCTTGGGCTGTTACAAATAATATCAGAGCCAGGCACTGAGCGGTGTGCCAGCAAGAACACTAGGCCCCCAAGGGGGGGATTGTGAGATCTCATCTCGGTTGGAGAAGGGAACGAAATATTCCTTATAAGGGTATGGAAACCTCTCCCTAATAGACACGTTTTAAAAACCTTGAGGGGAAGCCCAAAAGAGGAAGCCCAAAGAGGACAATATCGCCTAGTGGTGGGCTTGAGCTATTACAAATGGTATCAAAGCCAGACATCGAATGGTGTGCCAGCGAGGACGTTGGGCCCCTATGGGGGGGTGGATTGTGAGATCTCATATCGGTTGGAGAGGGGAACGAAACATTCTTTATAAGGGTATGGAAACCTCTTCCTAACAAATGCGTTTTAAAAACCTGAAGGGGAAGCCCGAAAGGGAAAGCCGAAAGAGGACAATATCTACTAGTGGTGGGCTTGGGCTATTACAGACCACCTTCAAAAGATCACGGAGGTGGACCGTGAGCATAATGCAAGATTCAGCCCCTGATACCACCCTAGATCTTAAAAGAAAAGATGGTGGGAGTTGTCATCTTTTTGAAGAACTGAAATCTCTTCATTCTATATTATGTCTATATTGTTCTTTAACTCGGTCAATCAACCTTTTTCTTTTTATTCTTTACTACTTAAATATCTCAACTTCAGTCGCATAAATTTTTTGTTTGTCTATTATCCAGGCCAGTGAGATGCTGAATGATGGGGGTACTGGTGGTTCACTTCCAATAATCTTTCTTGTTACTGATGGCTCCGTCGAAAATGAGAGACATATTTGTGATGTGATGCGAAAAAATCAAACAGAAAAGCAATCCGTTCATCCCCGTATATATACTTTTGGTATAGGTATGTTTCTGGTCTTAATCTAGAACTGCCTGAAAGTTTTATTGAGCTTTGACCATTCTATAACTTGTGGATTGAGGAAATTCGTCCTTGTCGAGATTAAGTTGCACTTACGGTTGTTTCAATGTTCATGCGGGTATCTATACTTGTTTTTGAGATTTCACACATCTACCAGGTACATTTTGCAACCACTATTTTCTAAGGATGCTTGCAATGATTGGCAGGGGCCAATATGATGCTGCTTATGATTTAGGTAAGTTTTGTACTTCACTGTGTTTCTTCTCTCCTTTAAGGGGAAAATTAGTCGATCGAACCACCATAATGTGTCTATCTCATAATGACGGTTGGATCGATATCCAAAATCTGTATGCCCTCTATTAACCGTTCACTATAGATTTACGATTTTAAATTCTTTCCAACCTTCTTCATTAATTTATGGACTAAACATCAAAAAGCAGTATTCGAAGTACTAGTAATGAATTATATCGACTGCAATCATGCTGTTTAGCTATCACCGAACTCGATTGACGTATTTCAGGCGCAAATTCATCTTTTGTCCAGCTCCTTGGAAATGACTGAATAGTTTAGATGCTTGACGGGTGGTTTCGACATAAAGTTGAACCATAAATCTTTGTATCATAGATCTGATAATGCACACATTGACATTCCCAGTCCTTAAAACTGTATATTATTGATTTAATTATTAAACTCTTTCTTCTCTATTTGTTGTTCTTCGGTGAACTCAGACTCAATACATTTGTGACCATTTTGTTTTTCAGATTCGATCGAACCCCGAATGCAGAAGTTGTACAAAAGAGCTACATCCACTATTTTGGTTAATATTGCTGTCAACGCATTCGATGATCTAGATGAAGTCAAGGTGTGCATATTCTTTTGTTTGATACATTATCATCCCGTATTTAGCATGCGCTTTCCTGCAGCATGAAATATAAACCGTTCTTCCAGTCAACACGTTTGTTTTCTAATTTCAAGCTTTCTTTTAGGTTTATCCTTCCTCAATTCCCGACCTTTCTTCCGAGAGTATATTGACCGTATCTGGCCGATACCGTGGAGATTTTCCAGAGACTGTTAAGGCAAGAGGCCTCTTGGCCAATTCGGATAACACTGTCTTAGACCTGAAGGTACATCAGGCAAAGGATATACCTCTTGAAAAGGTAGGGAATCAGCATATATGATCAAAGTGCCTGAATTTCTAACTACTTGTAGAAACTTAACGGGTGAAGTCTTTAAACTTTTCTTGTTTTACAGTTATTTGCTAAAGATCAGATTGAACAACTCACAGCTGAGGCATGGTCTTCAGAGAATAAACAACTAGTGGATATGGTTTGTGATTTTTACCCATGGTCCATTTCTCAACTTTAGAACGTCTGTCTCATTTTCGTTTACATCAGACACAACCAAGAAGAATTTTATTTTCGTAGCACTGACGTTCTTTTGAGTTTCGAATCTGCTATGATAGAGATATTGATATCTGATGCTTTATTTCATACCTTCTAGATCAAAAAGATGAGCACAAAAACGGGTGTACTGAGTGAGTATACTCAGATGGTCATATTTCAGAGCGTAGACAAAGTCAACGAATCAATAAAAGTGCAACAGGTGAGAACAGCTTTACACCCTCATGACCTCAAACTCGAGTTGCAGGCACTTGGTTATTAACTATTCAATTGCCCATTATAATAACTTTACAGTCGAAGAAGAACGCTTACGAGAAAATGGTAGCACCTAAAGGTGACAAAATGGCATTGTTACCATTCTGTGGTGTCGGCTTTGGAAACCTGGAAGCAACTTCTGATAACACTTCTCTTGGAACCGGTGAAAGAAAGCCCGAGGCAGCGGAAATAATTGTCAAAGCAGCTTCTAATTGTTGTGGCAATTTGTGTAGTCTCTGCTGTTGTCCCTGCTGCATCCAAGTCTGCCTCAAAATCAATAATCAATGCGCGATCGTGATGACACAACTCTGCACTGCTTTTGCCTGCTTTGGTTGTTTCGACTGTTGTTTAGATATGTGCTGCAACAATCAGACTGGCTCATAGGTACCTGATTCAAAATTTGTACAAGGTTCGTCATTCTTAGCTGCATTAGCAGTGTGTCTTTTACACAGTTCATTCAAGAGAATGTATGTTGTTTATTACCCAAAGTTCATATTAGGATTAGAACAGCCCATATACCTGAATATTCTGCTGTAAACCACATATGTAAACTAGTTTGTATACAACAAGTGCTTTCTTTGGTTCTCTCTTCTGAAAGTCCCACAATTGTATGTAACCTTTTTACGTGAACCGAACCACACATGAACTCGAAAAGAATAAAAACAAAGTTCATATAACAAACTTCAGTTCCCCCACCTTTAGAAGTGTTCAAACTTGTTATATATTGTAGCTTCTGAGCTTTAAACTCCTCTGTTTCTTATTAGCTCATAATGCCCCTGCAAATGGGGCAGTTTTTATTTTAACAAGCTTCCTTCTATGCTTTCTAGGTTCCCTAGTATTGACAAGTTATTCACAAATGGTCGAAACAAGGACATATTCGAGAATTCACCTTCCCTGCAATGCACTGTTCATTAAATGACACCAACAAAACAATTCCTTAGACACTATTTGAAGGGATGAATGACATCAAAGTGTAGGGTCCTCGTAGAACAAGCATTATTTTGTATAGAACTCTCACCTGTTCTACCGTAAAAAGCCTCATTCCATGGTCTGATATGGGTTGGTTAGATGTCCACCGCCCATTTGAGTGCAAGCCATGGACAGCTTCACGTGCTCAAAAGTTGTCCTGCATATTTCTTTCCATGGTGGCGATTCCCCTGCTTTATTAGAGAGAGAAAGAGAAACCAGACTGCTAGTTTTGGAGGATTCTGAAACAATTATAAGCTCTGTATTAGCAACAGGGAAGGAAGTATAAATGGGAAAATGGTTCAAGTTAGTGAGATTTAGGATATGCACCCTGGTGGTTCGGTCAGTGAGAGACATCCCCACGAGAATGTGGGCTATATGATATAATATAATATACATAACGTATCTGATATGCCCTCAAAGCCTACCTTTTTCCATTGGCCTCCCATATATATATATATATTATTTAATATCTCTGATAAAAGAGATGTTCTGCCTCAAATCTTCTTCGTGCGTGATAGCTCAGTCTCTCGTGTCCTTTTCTTCGTTGTCCATCGTCCTGCACGGATTTTCTGTATCAGTATGATAATCTTTATCATAAGAAACATGTCAAGTAATAATGGATGCAGAATGAAATCCTTATCTTCGAAGACTAGCGATCTAAAGAAGATAGCCAGCTCTTTGATGTGTTGTTAAACTGCATTATATCCTGTTTATGGTGTGGTTTTTTGAGCTGTGTTGCAGTTTTTATATCTGTCTGTGTAAAGATATTGGTATAAAGTTAGGCTTTTTCACATGTGATGAACTGATTTGTTGGGCAAGGCTATATGGGTTCTTTAAATGATGAGGTGGTGTACAGACAAGGAGAAGGGTCTATAGGCTCGTTCTTTTTGATCAAAGTTGATCGAAAAGACGAGAGATTGAATACTTATATGAGGGAAAAAGACGTTGAAATGGGGAGACAAAGATGTGACCAACCCGAGAGAGAGAAAAAGAGAGTCGACTTTTTGGAACTTGAAACAGTGGCAGCTAGTAGTTTGGTTGTGGAATTTCTCACATTTCTCTTCACTATATAAAGTGTTTTGCACTCTCATCTTGCCTTGGTGAGGTATAGTTCTCTAGACCTGGCTCTATCTGGCCTTATCGACAAGAATTCGAACTCGAACTAGAGGCCTCAAAGGGGACAAAGAAGAGGGTGTATCGCTGTTGCAAACTTGACGTTTGACAGATGAGGGTAAGTTAATGCAAGAGTGGTTTGTCATGATTTTGTATTTGAAAGTTAGTGTTTACTCCCCGTGATTAATTACGACTCGTTTTTGTGTGCAGATATTGAGTTGGATGCAAGGGAAGAAGGCTAATGGCAGAAAGGAGAGCAAAAGAACATCAAATTCCACCAAGGGTGAGCAAGACTATATTCTTCTTTTATTTGTTTCTATTTACAGAGTGAACTCGTTTCGATGATGATCTTTTAGACGATTTGAGTGCAAATAGCTTGAAATTCTTGCTCAAACAGATGAGATGGTGCACAGAACTCTCCCTGAAGAATTCAGCAGCTGGCCTCATGTGTTGCTGGCGATTGGAACGTTCGGAGACGAGAATCTGAATCAAGCACGCCCAAAAAGCTCTCAAGAGAATCCATCATCTTCCCTGCAACATGTTCAAGATCTTACACCTGAAGAACTAAATATACTTCACAAAGAGTTTAATCTGTTATTGGACGAACATCTTAAGCAATCGGGTCCATCCTTGGAATTTGAAGTCAGCCAGCATTGTCCATCAAACATGTTGCTTACCAGAAGCTTCGAATCCGAAACAACAAAGAACGAACCATTTTACGACGAGCTGATAAAGAAAAGCGATAGTTTCCAGCATGTCATACTCAGCAAAAGCAAAGATGCAGGTACGGGAGCTCACGACACTACAGTCATTGGCAAAAGAACTTTATCCTTCCTTCTCAAGAAGATTTTCGTCTGTGGAGGCGGTATCGCACCCGCTACGGTTGCTCCTCCTCCGAGAATAATAACTCTGGAGTCGAAAATGGAGAAGGTAAAATCAAGAACTCAAATTCTCTGATTACTGTTCTGGTGGGATCAGTGTTGATGACTTTTGTAGTCAAACATTGATAAAACTGTTTCTGAATCAGATGTTGAGGACAATACTCCAAAAGAAGATATACCCTCAAAACTCCAATGTCAGAATATCATCTATGAAAAAGTACCTGAGGAGGAAGAACAAGCAAAAAGATGAAAACAAAAACGAAAAAGAAAACGAAAAGAACGACAAGACTTGCAATGGAAATAAATGGGTCCAGACTGATTCCGAATGTCAGTATGAACAATATAATCAGTATCAACTTTCTAGTTCCATCAGATACACAAAATTCTGACTGTTTGTTTCCATTTCTTGTGCAGATATTGTTTTAGAAATCTGAGAAGCGACCACTGCCAAAGGAAAGATCACAAGACTTACTTTCTTGCTTGGTTGCTTGATTGTTTGTCCTTTAAGAAACTGGTTTAGCTATTGTTCTTATATCTAACAGCTTGGAGGAATTGAAACTGAGCTCAAATTTATCCTTTAAGAAACACTCTCGAATAGCTGGGGATGTTCGTCACAATTTCAGCGTCTGTTATATAAACTCACTCAGAAAAGCAAAAGCTTTGTCTTACAGAGCTGAATCATTTGTAAGACGATGCTTTCCCCAGAAATTCTCAGAATTGTCATTCGGAAACAGGCCATTGTCTTGTAAATGACCAATATTCTTACACTTCAGCTCACAAAAAGAGAGAGGGTAGGGTCATTTTCACTAGTTCGTTTTAGACTGGACACGTTTTTTTCTGTTACTCGATTATGTTTTTTCGAGATGTGAGTTTGCGAACATTTGGCTCCATTTAAGTTTATCATCGGGATATTGGTGATATGATCAGAGAGTTCCTCCTCTGTGTTTTTGTGAAAACACACAGAAATCGAAATAAAGTAATTAACTGCAAACATTTAATTACTTTGCACATTTTTGTTTTGTGTTTGTTGTTTACATGGTTCGAAATTGAAATTAAACCCTAAACCCTTGAATTTACGTGTAGCTTTCACCCTAAAAAATTAGATGAACATCAAGATCGAAATATTGAACCGACTGACTATAACGACTTTGATTGTTTGATTGAAATAACGACCATGTAATGACTTTGATCAATCGACTTAAGACTTAAAAGGTATAAGTAGTCAAGGTTAGTTTAAGTTGACTAAACTGAACTATCAATATATTACGAGTTGGGTTGGGTGCACGTATTGCATTTAACTTGTCTTTCCAAGGTTATGATTATTAAACCTAAAAAAATAAATTACTAATGGTCAATCAATCGACGATCAACACATCCGAACTCTTCCTAGATTCCAATCCAAAACTGATGCCGACCAACTATAGATTAAATACAGTAAGTCATTCCTAGATTAGTGTGATTTACTAGAGCATTATATCATGATTTTGAGTAAATAAAAAAATTTACTAGACTGGGGGTGGTAGCCAATTAGAAGAAATATCAGTTATTTCTATTTCATGACCAAGAAACGGCGGAGGCAAGTAAATCAGGTTCCAACACATAGGTTGCTGAAACGAGAGAAATTAGAACTACTTTAAAATCATTCAAACTTCCAAATTCTAAAAAAAGAACTGAAAATGCAGCAACTTAGTTCACTAAAAGAAAGCTAGAGAGGATTTGATCTTTAGTACTGAAAATGAACTACAAGTTGTTACCTTTATTTCATGGAAGTGAAGTGGTGCAAAATCTTGATATCCTTCATTCAAGAAGAAACTTGGAACAACGAACATCACTTCAATCTTCATTAAAATAAAGATTCTATTGAAGCCGCCTTCCTAAACCTTGATCTGCACAGAACTTCTTAAAAAACTTCATATTTCTTATGTAGAGTTAATGTAAGAACCGTGCATGTAACACAAAATACAAGTGGTAATACTAATTTCAAGATAATCGCTGAACACATCACTGTGAAACCAAAGTTCTTATGCTTTAAACAAAGAAAACCAGGACTCATTTATGTTTCTCACAATTCCATGGAATTCTAAGTTCAAATTCACCTCTCTGGATATCCATATTGAGATGAATGGGCAAAGTATGCAAGACTAAGAACACAAAACAAGCGACTCCTCACTCTAGGAACTAAAAAAGTCGAACTTGAAGGGTTGTTGTCATATATCTATCGCTGGAAAAGTTTTCCAACAAATCCCTGAAAGGAGTTTCCCATTCCAGCACCAACAGCTTCTGCCAGATACTTTGCCTGCATGGTCAGTTAAATATGCAGCAAAAAAAATTAGAACTTCAGAGAAATTTCCTCATTAAGGAAATATTAAAAATTTTGAATTGAAAGTGCACGATCGATACCTCTTGAACGGTTTTCTTTATATCAAAAGCATCTTTCAAACGATTGTCCAAGAAAGCCCATGTATCCAGAAAATCTGCAGGGAAAGGAAAAAGGACAGGCTATCAATTGGACAAATTATAGAGAAGTTTGCAAGCTATGTCTATCAATGATCAACGACATTAAAGAATAGAACCGAAGGTAAAGAGGTTTACAAAAATCCTAGGAGGCAGTAGAGTAGAAAGTC